ACCATCTTGTGAATCTTGCTCACCAACAGTCACATTCGCATCGTAATGCAATTTGTTGATAGTTTGAGATTGTCCCAAATGTTAAGATTTTCGTGATAAAAAATGTTCCAGCACTTTTCTGTCCTATACGACCACTACTGACTCTCAAAGAGAACCATGTTGATTTTACATACCAGTGAGCAGGTTTAAACAACTATCAGCTGCAGTAGAAACCAAGTTATGCTCCATCCAATAAAATCTCATTATTATTTGGAGTTGCTCGTTTCTTTAATTACAATAGCCGGAGAGGAGCTCACACACCTGGGCCTTCCTGTCTGAGCCGTGTTGCGGCCCACATTAAACTGTTAGTCTAGTATTGATCGTGAGAGACAATTGGAGGGTACCAAGGCGTAAATGATGGGTCAGGGGATGGATGCAGCTCACGCCTCGGTTTTACAAACCAACATAAACAACGTGACAGGTGGGGCGTCTGTCAGAATCTTTGATACCACCACGGCAGATTGCAGGATTTAATACGTGCCGGGTCGTTTGAGGCGATGATCCGTCTACTTTAACGACCCTCATAAAAAACGGTACTTTCTCTTTCGCCAATCTGCTTGGATGTGCAAACCCGTCCACCACCGCCCGCCTCTCCATCATGCCTAACCCTTCTCGGTTGCTCTCTTTAAGCCGTGAAGGGAAGAACGGTGAGTGTCCAAACACCAACTTCCATGTCAATACTTTGCTTTTGCTTTCCTTCATGATGATGAGGACCAGAGGTCTCTAGTGCCTAATAGCCCATGACTTTACAAAGTCAGAGAAATGAGGGAGATTTCCCCACAACCTAAAGCAACTTTAGGCTAAACTCGAGTGTAAAATTATTAAAACATAATTTCACCAGGGACCTGACATTTTCAACACATGTGATTGGGGAAGGGCTTGGGTGGATGAAAGGACTGTGAATGTGTTAATTTGCCAAACAAGAGAGATCATAAAATTATCCACTGGACACTTTTTACCAGATAGACTAAAAACTTTAAAGGGATATTCCACCCGTAAGTGAAATTTAGCCTGCTGCCATATAGATACGTGGGGAAAAGCATTTCGTAACCCGCCCAGTCAATCTGATCCGACAGTATTCTGCTAGCTTTAGCTTAGCATTAATAATGTAAGTGAATGGTACCAGCTAGCATTTCGCGTGAAAGTTATGAAAATTACTCAATAATGATCCTAATTTTTCTTGGTGATCTCAAAGGAAAATAAAGGAATTAGAGCCAATTATAGGCTACGATGTAAGGTACAAGAACATGTCCTGTCATCTTTCATGTACATTGCCATTTTTAGCGCAACTTCAAAAGTTTTCACCTAAAGAGAAAACTGTACCGGGCGTAAACCTAGAAGCCATGTTTGTGTTTATGGAAGTGGGTGTCCTTTTGAAATAGAAAAATTGAAATGCTAGCTGCTACCATTCACTTACATTGTGCTAAATGGTGTTGATCTTTTTTAAAGTTATAATACTGCAGTCAGGCGCGCAGATAGGGTGGGGGACGGGGGGGATCTGTCCCCCCCAGATTCAGATCGACCCCGATCCGTCCCCCCCAACTAAGGCCAGAAAGAAAACAAAATCGGAGGTTTAGCGCTTGAAGCTCCTTTTTCCGATTACACTGAATGCAGCATGACGTAAACAAACACCGACTCCAGAGGCGCCAAAGTGGTTGCTGCTAGGATGCAGGATGAAGCGATAAAGACAAGCAACGATTACTGAGTATTTTCAAAAGACCAACAGTGTAAGTAGGCGGGACCGATCTGTCTGTTTATGCATGTTGGTTCTAGATTCAGTACGTTGTTGTCAGTGTTGGGACTTACTCGTTAAAAGCGCCTCATTGCTGACTTTAACACGTCTCATCTACAAACATGATCCCTCATGAAGTTACTACTTTACACCAGAAGATAGTGGAGATGTGGAACCTTCAGACTGAGCAAAGTTTGGGAGTTTTTAGAGTTTGAAAATCGCCTCCCGCCGAGAGGCTCCCAGTCGGGGAGAGGAGGAGATGTGCGCAACATGAAGAGCGCAAATATTAGATAAATGTATAATTGCTGGCAGGTCTGGTCTTTGTTGACTGATCACTTTGTCTGGTCATGACTGACTCTGATTATGAAGCAGAATATTGACTCTGATGAAGAAATTCACTCATCCAGCCAGGAAGATGGACGCTGCTGCAGCATCAGACAGCTGGTGCTGCACGAGAGGTGTGTGGAGTTTACAAGCTCCAAACGTTGGGTTTGATGTTGGTTTAACCTTCTCTGGGACGTGATGGATGTAGAAATGATGGTAAAACACCGCTAACGTGACAGACGCAGCGACAATGTAAAAAAAAAAAGCCGTAAAAAGAGGCAGATGCTGATGCGTTAGGTATGGAAGTCAAGTGTGCCACATAATCATAAAAAATCATAAAAAAGGTAAAATATAAAATTTTAAAAGAGATTTGTGTATTTATGTATAAATTAAAACTTTCCAAATATAATGAACAATTCTAAATAACGTAAAAATATGAAGGAACATCTGTTGGTCAGGCTGAAATTTTGGGAACTACTGCTCTAAGTGATAAGTGAATTTTGTTTTTTAAATATATTTTATGTGCAGTTTTTTAGGGCTTTTATGTTTTCTGTAAAGATTGGTATGCTGAAAATCATTTAACGTTTTGCATAAAACATGAGGTTTTGGTTAGTAATTGAGTGGGAGAATAACAAATGACTGAATTAAATAGTGGGGCACCTCTGTCAGTGCGCCCCAGGGCAGCTGTGGCTACATCGTAGCTCATCACCATCAGTGTGTGAATGGATGAATGATACACTGTAGTGTAAAGCGCTTTGGAGTCCTTACTCTGAGAGGCTCTATACAAGTGCGGATCATTTATCATTTATAGTGTTGATCAGGCAGAGCTTTGTTGCCAGCGTTCCACTGCATCATGGCTTCAAACACGTATATAATGGTTAGTTTTTACGTAAACCATTGGAGGAAATTACACAAACTGACTGAGCTCTAGTTAAGGCGCTTGCAATAGTTTGTGTATGTGTACGTGTGTGTGTGTGTGTGTGTGTGTGTGTGTTTGGGGGAGGGTACATTGGAACTTTGTCCCCCCAGTTTGAAAATCCTATCTGCGCCCCTCTTCATTAGGGATTTGCTGGTGTTGTGCAGTAAAAAAGCACCTCTGCCACAGAAGCCCCACAGGAAGGGCTGTTTGCTAAATGCATTTGAAAGAAAATGCTTTTTACAACACTGTTTTAACCCTCCCATTGTCTTTATGGGTGACCCCGTGAGGAAACTTGACCACTGAGCAGGATTGATGGGTTATCCCTTGAGGTCCATGTGGCAGGGGTGGTGTGGTGCCCACTCCTCACCCCTGCCACGTGGACCCAAGGGATAAACCATCAACCCTGCTCAATGGTCAACTTTCCTCGCAGGGTCACACCCATTAGGACAGTGGGAGGGTTAAAAACGATGGGGTAAAACAAATAAAATTCTGATTTCACAATGAAATTAATCACAATACAACTTTTTTTGTTGCACCACCCTGAGCTTCGAAGACTGATTTGCTACGAAAGTTGTTTCCCTCGTACGGAGCAAAGATCGTAACAACAGACCATTCACCCTTCATTCAGGCAGACTACTGAGCGCTCCCAATACCCACACCAGAACACCCACCTGCATCAGAACCTGAATCTTAGCAAACACTATTTTCACCCATCTGTAACCTCTATTGTTAGAAAGGAAAATGACAATAAATAAAAATGGGTAAAACTCAAGTGAGAGTCTCGAGGATGATGGTGAATTTAAGAAACTCCACACACGGAACAGCGAAGATCAAAGAAAACACACTAGCACAGCGAGGCTGGTAAGAAGGCTAGACCTGTATTCGATTTTCCCGACACCGGCTGAAGGCCTCAGGCAGGTCGTCCCAGTTGGTGAGTTTGATGTCCAGGGGGATGAAGCTCAGGTTCAACGGAGCGCCGTCCTAAAAGACAAGAAGACCGACAGGAAGAGGAGAGCCTGAGGCACCGTCAGTCGCTGAGGAGCAGCTGCTGATGTTAGTCATAAACACCGTAAACATACAGCCTATACATAAACCAATGATAGTTTTAAATTTAATCAATAAATATTTATTCAAACATATTACAGTTTCTGACTCACCTGACTTAATTGATATCATCAAATTAGGACTGAAATGAGTGTTTACACCAAAGGCTGCAGTTATAAGAACTTTAATCAAATGAAAGTCAAGATGATTACGTTTACATTTGTGTGATTAGGATCTATAAACAGCTTTACCTATTGAACATAATTATTAGAGTTCCCTCTTGATTGGCACCTAATTAAATATTAAGTGATGTTATTAGATTTTCAAAACACTGCAGATACATTTAATGTGTACAAAGGGGAGAACGGTAGAAACATTATCCGTCACGGACGAGGGAAAGCCATGAAAAACCCACTAATTGGGTCTTTGTGGCAGTAAAGGTGACCGTGCCTTTATGGTTCTGTGGAGCTTTGGACTACACTACAAAATCAGAACAAGTGAATCTTTGGTGTAACAAAAAATACACACAGTCACCAGTGGGTCCTTTCTCGGGAGTGTATCTTGGTAAATCCATTGGTGAAAACAAATGTCAACCCAAACATTTACAGTAAGCAGAGGAAAAGACCATCTTAAGGTAAGATGGATACAATTGGGTTGACCTTTGCTTTACTAGTCATAACTGAAGAATTTATCTTTTATACCATAATTTATACCTCAATTTGTAAGCTTACTCATCAAGTAGACAACCTTAATGCTATGACAATGCTGCCGGTGCAAACTGCGATGAACATCTAACAGGAAGTAATGACCCCTCCAGGAAAATCTAGTCTCTGGAGGTTTCCAGTTTGTGTACGGTGACTATTTACGTGAGATAAGCTCTTAACAGAGTAACCCCTCCTGCAGAACCCCTCAGGAAGGGTAAAATTGGACTAAATAACCACTAAACATCCAGTTATCAGTTAACTCTGGTACAACAGAGTGGTTAATGTCATCTTGTAGCAGATTCAGATTCAGATTTCAGATTTATTGGCCAAGTAAAATTACAGTTACAAGGAATTTGGCTTCGGTAGATGTTCTCTCTCTAAAAACATACAACAACCCCAATAAATGAGAATAAAAATACCTAAAAACACATAAGAACATGTTTACCCACTCGCATGTTCATTTACATACACACATATATACATATATACATACACACACACACACACACGCACGCAACATAGATAGGATGGGCTACATCAGGGGTAGTCAACTCCTTCCCTGAGGGCCGTTATCCAGCGTGTTTTAGTTGTTTCCTCGTTCCAGTACACTTGATTCACCTATTCAGAAGCTTAAGAAGCTCTGCAGAAGCCGGTCAATCACCTGCTGGTTAAAATCAGGTGTGCTGAAGCAGGAATTTTTATGTAGCGCCGCTCGAGATAAAAATCATGAGGTGCTTCTCAAGAACAAAAATGTAAAAAATAAAAAAACATTTACAAAAAATGATTTTAAAATATCATAAAAAATAACTATTTTAAACTGTGATTAAAAATGTATGGAAGGTGAAAGAGAAAACGAATAAGAGGAAATCAGAGGATGTCAAGAAAGGTGGTAGAAAGAGCAGAATAAGGAGAGGGTGGTGACGAAGGCCATGTAAAAGGCTGAACAGGTGTTTTCAGCTGCTTCTTAAAGGAGTCCACTGAGTCCACTGATCTCAGGCTCAGGGGGAGAGAGTTCCAGAGTCTGGGGCCACAGCAGCAAATGATCTGTCACCTTTGGTCTTTAGCCTGGTGCGGCACAACCAGTAGGCTTTGATCACTGGACCTCAGGGACCTGCTGGGGGTGTAGGGACTAAGAAGATCACCAATGTATGATGGTGCTTGTCCATGTAAGGCCCTATAGACCAGAACCAGGATCTTGAAATGAACCCTGAAGTTGACTGGCAGCCAGTGAAGCTGGAGGAGAAGCGGGGTGATGTGGGTGTATTTGGAGGACTTGGTCAGAAGCCGAGCACAGGCATTCTGAACCACCTGTAGACGGTTCAGGGAGGTTCTGCTCAGACACGTGAAAAGAGAGTTACAGTAGTCTAAGCGTGAGGAGATGAAGGTGTGGAGAACTGTCTCAAGTTCAGAGCGAGACAGAATGGGACTCAGCTTAGCAATGTTCCTGAGATGGAAGAAGGAAGAGCGAACAAGAGAACTGACATGAGAATCCAGGGTGAGAGCTGGGTCAAAGGTCACGCCAAGATTCCTGATGGAAGGTTTGGTGTGGGAAGCAAGCTGACCAAGAGAGTCTCTGACTTTGGGAACCAGCTTGTCTGGGGTACAGATGAGGATCTCAGTCCTATCTTCATTCAGCTGAAGAAAGCTCCCGGCCATCCAGGTTTTGATAGAGTCTAAGCAGGTGTGTAACGGCTGCAGCTTAGACATCTCATGGGGCTTAAAGGAGATGTACAGTTGGATGTCATCTGCATAAAGATGGTAGGAGATTCCTTTGAAGGAGCTCAGGATGTGCTGAAGAGGAATCAGATCAAGGAGGAAGAGCAGAGGCCCCAGCACAGAACCTTGTGGGACACCATGGGTAAGGGAGGTGGTGGAGGACCTAAACTTGGAGACGGCCACAGAGAAGGAACGCTCAGAAAGATGAGAGGAGAACCACTCCAGAGCAGATCCTGATAGGCCTACCCAGTCTCTCAGCCTCTCCAGTAGCAGGTGATGGTCAAGAGTGTCAAAGGCTGCAGTCAGGTCCAGCAGGACCAGAACAGAACAGTCCCCTGCATCACTGTGAGTCAGAAGGTCATTAGAGACCCTAAGAAGAGCTGTGTCAGTAGAATGAGCTCTACGAAAACCTGACTGGAAGCTATCATAGATGTTATGTTCATCAAGAGCAGCTGTGAGTTGTTTAGCCACAAACTTTTCCAAGATCTTGGAGATGAACACATGGGCGACGGTGGCACAGGAGTTAAGTGCTCGCCCCGTTATTGGAAGGTTGCAGGTTCGAGCCCCGCTCAGTCTGACGCTGCGTCCTTGGGCAAGACACTCAACCCACGTTGCCTGCTGGTGGTGGTCGGAGGGACCGGTGGCGCCAGTGCTCGGCAGCCTCCCCTCTGTCAGTGCGCGTCAGGGCAGCTGTGGCTACATCGTAGCTCATCTCCACCAGTGTGTGAATGGGTGAATGACTGATTGTGTTGTAAAGCGCCTTGGGGGGTTCCAGGACTCTAGAAGGCCCTGTAACACAGTCTCTGAGGTGCAGAACCAATAGACTGAAGGACAACTTTTACCTGTGGGCAGTAGGAATTTTAAATGTTTCGATGTGATCACAGGGTGAGCCTCCTTCATTATTTTCTTTTAAGAGAAGGAGTTTGTCCCCCCCCTCCCCCCACCCCCCCCAATCCACTGAATGACAATGTTTTTAGGGATATTTATGGTGGATGTTTTTAGCCAATTACATTTTTTACATTTTATTGCTCTTTTTAGTGTTATTTTTAGTAAAGTTGTTTTTGATTATGTGGCTTTTACATATGCTGTTTTTGGCCCTGTGCCAGATGAGGCCCAAGTAATCTCGTTATGCTTTCTTTTCGCATAATGATAATTCATTCAATTCAATTAACACAAGTTTAGGGATAGGTCTTAAGCTGCTATGGAGAGAAGGGTCAAGACACGGTTCTTTGAGAAAACAACTAAAACAGGCTGGATACCAGCCCTCGGGCAGGGGCTACCCCTGGGCTACCTCTACACACAAATAGCTCTCAAATATAACCATGGTTTCTATAGCTGGCTTCAAACCAGCAACCAATCAGGATCAATTACCAACTCATTGCTGCTCCGCTGGTTATGTTGGTTGACTGTGACTCAACATGATTCAGGCCTCGAGTGTGGAGCATCAACATGACGCCTGCATCCTACGGTGCTTTGGTCTTTTCACAATCAAACTGAGTGGGACTTAGAAAAACTTCAGGACACCCCCCACCAACTACACCCCCACACACAAGACAAACAAGTCGCAAACTGCCACTCATTGTCTCATTTAATCAGTCGCAATACTTTTCTGTTTCTGTGAGGCTAAAAAAGGATGCTGGGTACTTATTCAGTCTCACAACAGCAAAGCTCACAGTGTCACGCTGTAATTAGAGCCTCAATATCCAGTTCTGCTGAATTCACTTGCAATTAGTTTCATTGTGTACTGTTTCTCAGTTCACACCAAAGCTTTAGGTACCTTCAGCCAGGCAATCAGATTTCTAATCTCTAACTAGCAGAGTTTGAAGCCAATTACATTCAAGTTCGCTAATCTGGCCACGCTTTATTCTTCATTGGTTGCCATGGTTATTCCTCTGGTAACCAAGGAGCTTGTTAGTGATCTGAGTTGTTTTCTGGTTTTTCTCCCTGATAAACATTTGAAGATGGTGCTTTTTCTGTAACACTCAGCATGCATTAGCAACGATAATGAGGAATATAAAGAACAACACACGGATACCCATAAGGCTGAACCTTCCTGCAATTATAGGTAATCTTTCTGCAGAGGTTTGGAAGTAGCGGCATAATCATTGAAAAAAAAAAAGAACCACAGTAAAAATCATTTTTCCCAGTTATTACGGCTTCATTAGCACTAACTACAGTCAATTTGAAGCCTGAGAAGCCACTTACCCTCAGTGTTAACTTCAATCAAACAACAGCGACTATGCTACACATTTGGGAGCATTTTCTATTTAGACAAAAGAAAAATGGTTGACCAGTAAAATGCCACAATCTGTGTTTCAGCTGTCAGAGCCACGTCAGGTGTAGGGACGTGGACGGAGAAGGCAGGAGAAGGGATAAAGTGGAAAGGTTAATACCTGGCAACCGGCCGACTCATGGATTTAGAGATGCGTATCACTGGGAAGTCTTTCCTGCGCTGCAGCCAGAGTGCTCAGAGCCCCTCGTGTTTATTTGGATTATGGTAAAATAAATATCATGAAG